GTTGTAAATGTAAAGGTAGACATTTTGTGGTAAGGAGGGGAGTGATTAACTTTGCAGTCTAGGAACGGAGGTCTTTGGGACCATGAAGGGAGAAGAGCGGAGAGCAGGACCCTACCCAGAGAAGCAGAGATCCCTAAGATGGAGACAGAGATGATGACGTGGAGAGATGGAGCAGTTGGGGACTCTTGACCCAGATGGGGAGAGGGGATGTCTGCTGACGACCAAGGTGGGGATCGCGGGGTGGGGGCAGACTTGTAGGATGTACCTTTGGTTGGTTGATGATGCATGGAGGGGATTGTAACCATGGCAATGAAACAATATATGATAGAATGAATGTACAACTAATGTTCTCCCATGTAAACTGTCACATTATTCACAATAAAGCATTTAAAGAAAAGAAAGAAAAACATCTCCAGGCACTAGGAAGACATCAGGGCTTGTGCTGGAAGGAAAAGGTTCTACTCCCCAAATTCTTCCCTGAAGAGGTCACAGGTTTAGGAGGAAGAACAAAAGAAAGCAGCTGAACTTGGGTTCAGCTTTAAACTTGTGACTCTTATGCTGCATGAGGTTGGGTTACTAAGAAAAGAGAGTTGGTGCTGGATCTTCCTTTATCACAAGCTGAAGACTGAGGGACATCTTTGTGGCACAACCCAGGTAGGAAGAATGCTTAGGGGATCTCGGGCTGAGGGAGTAGCTGGTGAGTCTGCCCAGCCCACTAACCGCATCAACCACAATGAAAAAGGAAGTTAAAAAAGGAGAGACAACAACAGGGCCTATACTTCCTTCATCTGTCATTCTTGGGACATTACTGACTGACTAGCAGAAAGCAGCTTTATGGAGAAGACAATCAAGAAGGAACTTTCCGCCATAATCTACTAACACTGAGGTAATTTTAATTTTTAATCTTCTACTCCTGGTGTGGCACTGTAGAATCAGCACTGGACTGAGAGCCACAGGTCTGCAGTTCAAACCCCCCAACTACTCCTCAGAAACCCTGTACAGGGTCGCTATGAGTAGGAACTGAGTCGGCAGCACTTAACAACAACTCCTGGAATAAGGAATGAATATTTCTGTTGTTAAGTGCCATTGAGTCAGTTCCAAACCTTAGCAACCCTGTATAGGGTTTCCAAGAAGTGGTTGCTGGGTTTAAACTGCCAACCTTATGGTTCATAAGTTTGCACAGTCCAGTGCTTATTCTACAGTGCCACACCAGTTGTCTTATTTCATTCCAAGGGCTACTTAAAAAACTACTCCGTTAAGTGAGATATCCCATTACTTGTCCTACCCAAATCTCTGCTAGCGTAGTGGTTACGAGTTGGTCTGCTAACCTCAAAGTCAGCAGTTCGATACTACCAGAGGTTTCGCAGGAGAAAGATGAGGCCTTCTGCTCCTGTAAAGATTTACAGCCTTGGAAACCCTATACAGGGTCGCTATGGGTCAGAACCGACTAAATGGCACTTAACAACAACAACAAGGTGGAAACAGAGTTCTTGTGTGGTGCTGTGAGAGAATGCACTGGACCACAAACTCACTAGCCACTCCTAGAAAACCCTGTACAGGGTTGCTATGAGTTGGAACCTATTCAACAGCACTGAAAAATAACAAGGTAGAAACAGGTCTTAAATCTTAAAATTTGGAATTGCTTAAAAATTTGTGTAATATGCTTATTTACCTTGGTAAGATAATGGAAGAAACCACTTGGATTCATAATTTTGACACCTGTCAACAGTATTTATAGTCACTGTTAACAGACATGGTGATGGTCTTGTGGAGGTTTCCAAAGGCAGGAGAAGTTACCATCAGCTGGACTGCCCTCTTCGTTCTATGTATGGAAGCCAAGGTACCTACTATTCTGGACTTTGGGTTTACAGATAGAAAATAGAGGCTAGAAACTCCAGACTAGCAAGAATTAAAAACTTTTGTCATTTCTATTGAACTAGGTATGTCTAACTGGAAGTTCATTTCCCTCCTTGCTTTAACTACCAAGCAACGTGAGCCCACATTCTGTGTATCCCAGGAGGTCCAACACTCTTCTCTGAAGAAGGCCTCTAGACATAGGTCAGTTGATGGTGATTATTGCATCTCCAGGTTGGAGTTTGAAACCTGACAATGAAAAGGCTTGCCCTTCTTTTGAAGTAGGCGTTCTTCAAAGTTTCCACCTGAATATAAGTTCCTTCAGAAAAGAATGGCTGATGTTTGCACCTGGTCTTTCTCCCCTAGGATTTGACAGTGGCCACCATGGGTTCTGTGAATTCCAGAGGTCACAAGGCAGCAGCTCAGGTCGTGATGATGGGCCTTGACTCAGCAGGCAAGACCACGCTTCTGTACAAACTGAAGGGCCATGCGCTGGTGGAAACCCTACCTACTGTTGGCTTCAATGTGGAGCCTCTTGAAGCTCCTGGGCACCTGTCTCTAACACTTTGGGATGTGGGAGGGCAGACTCAGCTCAGGGCCAGCTGGAAGGACTATCTTGAGGGTATGGATATTCTCGTGTATGTGCTGGACAGCACAGATGCAGCCCGCCTGCCTGAGGCAGTGGCTGAGCTCAGGGAAGTGCTGGAGAACCCCAACATGGCCAGCATTCCTTTTCTGGTACTGGCTAACAAGCAGGAAGCACCTGATGCTCTACCGCTGCTGGAGATCAGAGACAGGCTGGGTGTGGAGAGATTTCAGGATCACTGCTGGGAGCTCCGGGCCTGCAGTGCCCTTACTGGTGAGGGGTTGCTGGAAGCCCTGCAGAGCCTGAGGAGCCTGCTAAAGTCCTGCAGGCAACTGTGTCTCCGTTCAAGGAGTGAAGAGAATAAGAAATCTTGATTGAGCTAGAGCAGCTCATTTTGCTATATGAACTGGAAGAACCAACTAATCCTCTAGAAAGTTACGCTTGGCTTATCAAACAAGAAATCCTTCTTTTCTTCTCAGGATTTATTTTGACTGGTGTTTATGTGGGAAAGCAACTATTCTTTGAATAATGATACTCTTTTTAAAAAGTTCAACACACTCCATTTAATAACTCACTACGAAGAGTGAGTCCTGTTGTGGCACTGTGGAATAAAGCATTGGACTACAAGGCCAGTTTGAACCACAAGGTCGGCAGTTCAAACTCACCAGATGCTCTTTGGAACCCTATACAGGATTGCTATGAGTCGGAACTGACTTGGCAACACTTAAAACAACAGCCAAAAATGAACTGATGTAGCACTGTCAGATAAGCACAGGACTACAAACCACAAGGCTGGTGGTTCAAACCCACCAGCTGCTCTTTGGATGCTCTATACAGGACACTTAACAAATTCACAGAGAAAAATATATTTCAAAATCAAATTAAAATATTATCTGGACATGTCACAGTTGTGATCTTCCCTGGCAGTTCATGGTTTTGTGTCGTTGTCTCTGTGTATGCAAGTAACAGGTTCAGACGAGATAGGTAGAAGAGCCTGCTACTACAAAATCTGGGTATTAGAAGGTCACTGGAGAATTCATCTCAGGACAAAGAGCTGGCAGTAAGACTTCCAAAATGTACTCTCTTCTCTGGCCCTGCTTACTCCTGTCCACTTTCTTGTCATCTTGTATTTCTTCTCTTTTCTCCTTCTTGTAGCATATGGTACTGGTTGTGTGCTGTGAAGTCAGTTCCAACCCACAGTGACCCTGCATAGTAGATTAGAACTGCTGACCTTGTGGTTAGCAGCCGAGCTCATAATCTACTCTGTTACCAGGGTTTCACTTCTTGTAGTATATGTCTTCTCTTAAAGATCAGAAAATCAATTGTTGACTTCATTTATTCTGTGAATACAGTGGCAAAAGGCATTGAGCTTATAGGTATGAACTGGGCACTGTAAATGGGAGTATGGATTCTGAAGGTATTTATAACAGCAATACCTTCTCCTTCATTGCTATTAATAAATATTTTTTAGAGTTGAACATAGTATTTTAGGAGTTTGTTGTGATGATCTTAATCTACAACTCATGAAGCTACTGAAATTAAGTGCTGCCAAGCCTAGGGCCAGAATGAGGATTCATAACTTTTACCAGACTTTTGAAGGCATCTTTACTTCCAACAGCTAAGAATCACTGATCTGCCCTGAGACTATGGCACTTCCTCACCTTTCAGGTCTAGAAATCAATTCAACCCCTCATCCCCATGGCTCAATTTTGAGCCAAACAATAGACAGGTATATAATGAGGACAACACTAGGGAGTTATGCACATCTTAGAAGAATCAACCATATGAGATCAACAGGGCAGCATTCACTGGAGGACAAAGTTCTGAAGGGTTGAAAAGGAGACATGGGATAAGTGATATTATTTTATGGTTATTGGAATCAATGACATGAAGAAAAATAGGTATGATTTGTTGAATGGAAAACTGATCAGGTCTGTAAGCCATCATCCAATTCACAATGATAAAAAAAAAAATTTATTAACATGAAATCCTGATTTGGTTTTATCCCCCAATCAGGGATACTTCCTATAATCTTGAGTTTTTAATGATAATTAAAACCCTGTATAGGGTTTCTGAGGAGCAACTGGTGAGTTTGAGCTGTAAACCTTGAGTTCAGTGCTTATCCTACAGTGTCATATAAGATGTTTAAAGAGCTCTAGTCCTGGTGTGATGCTCTAGTCCTGGTACAACAAATGTTGTACATTCTTTCCTGCCCTAGATTTAAATCAGCATTCTAATAACTCCTAATGGTGGTTCATTCCTCTCTGGAATAACACAGAATGAATTGGACCTTAATGCTAGTCTAACATCTAAAATCTACCAAGTCCTCTCCCCAATCTTCCTGTCTTCATTCAGGTTAGGCATGCCTGTCCTTTCGACTACTTGTCAAATGACATGTTTCAAGACTATGTTATTAGGTACCATTGAATTGATTCCAGCTCACTGTGAGCCTATGTACAACAGAAGAAAACACTGCCTGGTCCTGCATCATCCTCACAACCTTTCCTATTTTTGAGCCCATTGCTGCAGCCACTATAAAGGGTCTAACTCTTGTACACTGAGCCTCTACTTTACCAAGCAGGATGTCTTTCTCTAGGGACTGACTGGTCCATCCTGATAAAATGTCCAAAGTATGTAAGACAAAGTCTCACCATTTTTGCTTCTTAGGAGCATTCTGGTTATATTTCTTTGGGCAGTTTTGTTTGTTCTGCTAGCAGTGCATGCTACTTTCAATAGTCTTCACCACACCATAATTAAAATGTATAAACACCAGAACTTCAAAGTAGACATTATTATTAATATCTAATAATAATAAGGAGTGCTAGTGTGATGCTGTGGGTTAATGCACTGGACTGCAAAGTCAATGTGAATTGCAAAATCAGTGGTTCAAGCTCACTAGCCGCTCATCAGAAACCCTATACAGGGTCACTATGGGTTGAAACTGACTTGATGGCACTAAATAACAACAACAGTAATAAAGTAGAAACTATTCCCACTTTATTTAATTAGAAACTGAAGTTCTCTGAGAAGTTAACTATCAAGTGATGTATCTGGAATTAGAAAACAGTTATGTCTAGCTCCAATCTGCATGCTTCTATTGTATAACCCATGAAAGCCAGAAAGTATGTAAGGTGGAAACCTGTCAGAGAAGGAAAACACAAACATTTTCCACTAATAGAGAAAGAAAAGTTGTAAGATGGTACTTGTGAAAGATGGAAAATTTGTGAGACCTGAAAAGACAAGGTAGTTCTGTTGAGTTCTGGTTCCCACAGATTAAAGCTATGGTAGACAGATCTTTAGTCAGAGTATCTGGGTAGTGCAAATGATTAAGAACTGGGCTAACTGAAAAGTTGGTGGTTCAAACCTACCCAGAGGTTCCTTGGAAGAATGGCCTGTTGATCTGCTCCTGAAAGGTCATAGCTGAGAAAATCCTATGGAATATAATTCCATTCTGAAACATGTGGGGTCAGAGTGAACTCTATGGCAACTGGTAGACCTTCAATCAGCAGATATAATGGGAAGAACATCCTAGTCTGAAGGAAAAGATGGCTTGGAAACACAAAGGAGAATGTAGGAAGGGTGAGTAAGTCAGTAACCCTGAAGAGAGAGAGGGTAAAGTGAGAAGAGCAAACACAACTAAAACAAAAGGCAGCTTGGACGTTCATAATCAAGAGTTTAGATCTAGGAAGTGTGATCTTTGTCTTCATTTCTGCCACTAGAGGACTTGTCATTTAGGAAGATAATTAAGTGGAAGTGTGGGAAGTAGAATAAAGAGAAGTGTGGGTATTGGAGACAGGGAAACAAGCAAGATGGTCATGATCGCTGCAGTAACAGAAGAGGAAGAGGAAGATAGAGAACTAGTTTTTTGTGTGTTTTTTTAAAGAAGTTTTTATTGTGAATTGAGTTAAAGTTTACAGGGCAGATTATCAGTTTTACATTCCATAAATCATATTTTGCTTCATTGCAATGATTGCAATCCCCTCCAAGTACCATCAGTCAATAGTATTTACCTCTTCCCCTCCCCGACACACACACCTTTTTTTTTAAGGTTTTTATTATGGATTGAATAAAAGTTTACAGGGCAGATCATCAGTTTTACATTCAACAAATCATACACCTTGTTTCATTACAATGATTATAATCCCCTCCATGTACCATCAGTTAATAGTATTTCTCGCTATTCACTTTAGCTCTTTTTTAAAAACAAAAAACACTCAGGCATATATAATAATTTACACCACCAAAGGGAACATTATACAAGTCTGCCTCCTGGCCACCAGCTCTTTGTCCCTCTCGTCTCATGAATCTAGAGTTTTTAGCCACTACCCTTCTCCATGTCCCCATCTCTGCCTCCTTCTCTGGCATCTCTGTGTCTCTGCATAAGGTCCCGCATTCTGCTTGTGCTCTTCTCCCTTGATGGCCCTAGGGTCCTCTGTTTCTGTAAGATTAACCACACCCCTGTTTTTGCTACAAAACTTCTACCTTTACAATTGTGACAGTCGCAATTAGTCATGATAACAATTACTCATCATTGAATCATACAAATCTTATCCCCATCTCTTTTCACCAGACCCATCTAGACAAGATGAAAACTATTCAGTGGGAACATTTTCTACCCGCGCACACACTTAAACTAAACTCCATTATGAAACCTTGTAAGCCAGTCACTTCATGCCTTTATAGCCCTCCTCCCCTATTTTAGGTAGCCAATGTCTAAGTTGCCTGTCCCTATCTACCCTGTGTACAGAGGGGATAGCACTGATACTTGATGTGAAGACTCTTTCCCTCTCTGTTGGTATTTAGAGTTACTACCTCCATGAGTATAGGTCAGGTTCATCAAAATGTAGCAATTTACCCTTGTTTCCTTTATCCAAAAAAAAAAATATATTATTTATTATTATTATCTTCCTCTATTCGAGTTCTGATTATCAAGCCATTGAGGCTAGGTCAATGGATACTGTGTGGAAGTTTGGGTGTTCTTGTGCATCTCCCCTCCCTTCATATCAGCTGGATGCTTCACTCTCAGCTCTAGCTCTTTGTGGCTATGTCCTTGTCCGTGGGCTCAGGTTTCCCCATGTCTCAACACACTTTGGGCCAACCAGCCCTTCCTCTTCTCTTTTTCATCTCCAGGTCAACAGGAGTCAATGGACTGTGGTTGAACTTAGCCCATTTCTTCATTGCTGCCTTTTCCCCTCTTCCACTCACCAATAGACCAATGTGGTTGCCGGCAAGCATACATGCCTGCTCATGTGCTCCCTTTGAGTTTCAGTTTTGAGGGAAGTTTGTCCTGAAGGATCTTAATTGCTTGCCTTGAGGCCTCCTGGCAAACAGCTTGCTTATTCTGTGGTATCCAGTCATGCTGACATTTTTGTTT